GTTAATGTGTGCAAATGAGAGCGTGATGGGTGTTTGTTAATGTGTGCAAATGAGAGCGTGATGGGTGTTTGTTAATGTGTGCAAATGAGAGTGAATGGATGTGTGTTAATGTGTGCAAATGAGAGAGTGAATGGATGTGTGTTAATGTGTGCAAATGAGAGCGTGATGGGTGTTTGTTAATGTGTGTAAATGAGAGTGAATGGAAGTGTGTTAATGTGTGCAAATGAGAGCGTGAATGGGTGTTTGTTAATGTGTGTAAATGAGAGTGAATGGATGTGTGTTAGTGTGCAAATGAGAGAGTGAATGGATGTGTTTATTAATGTATGCAAATGAGAGCGTGAATGGGTGTTTGTTAATGTGTGTAAATGAGAGAGTGAATGGATGTGTGTTAATGTGTGCAAATGAGAGACTGAATGGATGTGTTTATTAATGTGTGCAAATGAGAAAGTGAATGGATGTGTTTATTAATGTGTGCAAATGAGAGAGTGAATGGGTGTTCGTTAATGTGTGTAAATGAGAGAGTGAATGGATGTTTGTTAATGTGTGTAAATGAGAGAGTGAATGGATGTTTGTTAATGTGTGCAAATGAGAAAGTGAATGGATGTTTATTAATGCATTCAAATGAGAGACTGAATGATGTGTTTATTAATGTATGCAAATGAGCGAGTGAATGGATGTTTGTTAATATGTGCAAATGAGAGTGAATGGATGTGTTTATTAACGTGTGCAAATGAGAGACTGAATGGATGTGTTTGTTAATGTGTGCAAATGAGAGAGAATTATTGTGTTTATTAATGTGTGTAAATAAGAGAGTGAATAAATGTGAGTGAATTAGTGTGTGCAAATGTGACAGTGAATGAATGTGAGTGTGAGCAAATTAATGTCAGTAAATGTGAGAGTGAATGAATGTGTGAGCGTGTAAGTAAATGTGATTGTTAATGAGTGTGAGCATGTAAGTGAATGTGAGCATGTAAGTGAATGTGAGTGTGAGTGAATGTGAGACAACGTGAGTGTGAATGAGGGAGTGAGTGTGAGTGAACATGTGGGGGACTGTGAGTGACGTGAGCGTGCACCGGGGTGCACATCTGTTTGTGTGTGGCACTGCTGTGTGTGCCTGTGCCACTGGTGTCAGCCCCCCTGCCATGGCAGGGACACCTGCCACCACCCCAGCTTCCTCCCAACCCTGCCCAGCCTGGCCTTGGACACGTCCAGGGATGGGGCAGCCACAGTTTCTCTGGACACCGTGTGCCAGGGCTTCCCACCCTCCCAGAGAGCAATTCTTCTCCATATCCCATCTAACGCTGCCCTCTGGCACTGTGAAACCATTCCCCTTGTCCTGGCACTCCTGGCCCTTGTTCTAAGTCACCTTCCAGCTCTCTTGGACCCCCTTTAGGCACTGAGGGGCCTTTGGGGGCTCTGAGGTCTCCTTGGAGCCTTCTCTTCTCCAGGCTGAACACACCCAGCTGTCTCAGCCCTTCCCCTGTGAAAGCCACTCGAGGGGGGAAGTATTTCAGCAGGGGAAACAGAAGCGGTGGCTGGGTGGCCATAGCAGCTCCTGGGAGTTCCATGACCTCCTGTCAGCTTTGTGGGCAGCTTCTGCCCATAAAGCTGAGGGAACACTGCAGCCTCAGTGCCCCTGAGGGCTTTAAGAGGAAGAGCTTTTGATACTGGGGCGCTCCCCAGGTTGCAGAAGGGCTCTGAGCAGCCTGCTGAGCTCTAGGAGGAACTCCCCTTTGATAGGAGCAATTTAGTCCATGCCTCAAGAGCTGAGAGTTGCAAGATTGCCTCAGCACCTCCACACCAGCAGCAAAAGGCTCCCTAGCTAGGATTCTTTAGGCTGTAAAAGACCCCTAACAAGATCAAGACCATCCACTAACCCAGCACCACCAAGGCCACCACTAAACCATATCCCCAAATGCTGCATCTACAGGTCTTTTAGACTCCTCCAGGGATTGTGACTCTGCCATTTCCCTCAGCAGCTTGTTCCAGGGCTTCACAGCCCCGGAAGAAATTTTCACTAATATCCAATCTAAACCTCCACTGGCACAACTTGTGGAGTTGTTTCCCTTTGTGGCACCCTGTTTCTCCTTGCCCTGTTGCTTATTACATGGGTGAAGATACCAACCTGCACCTGACTACAACTCCTTTCAGGTATTTGTAGAGAGTGAGAAGCTCCCACTTCAGCCTCCTCCTGGTTGTGGGATAAATCAGCATCCCTGCCCTGAAACCTGCCAGGCTGCAAAAAGCTTTTTTTATAATGGTGAGAGATTAAAAATGTTAATTAAATTATCTTACTAGGATTTTGTAACTTTTTAAAATTTGTTGATGTTGTGTATTTGCTTTATATTTTTATGGATGGATTTTGAGTGATTAGATAAGTTTATGCAGTACATTTTTAAATTTTTTTTGCATTTATGCTTATGTGATAGCAGCAAGCAATTAATTGCTGCTTTGTTTTGAAGTGTTGTTTGTTTTGCACTGTTGATATTTGTTAATATGTTGTTTAGTGTAGCGGAAATGGTATGAGTGTGTTTGTTTAATTAACATGTTATGTGGTTATTTTAAGTTCCAACAGTTCTGGAGGCCCAAGAGTCCTTGTCCTCGAAGATCTGAGTTCTCACACTGCTGGGCACCAGCAAGGGGCTGGACCTGCTTTCAGGGTGACACTCTGCAATAAACCCTTCAGCAGGTGAGAACCTGCTGTACAAACACAGTCACACACCATGGCCACTGTTACCAGATTCTTGGTGTCACTGATAAAGCAGAAGCACTTCCACAGAAAATATTTTGTGGGTGCCAGGGAAAAAAAAAAGTTATCAGCAAAGCAGAAAAGAGGAAGGTGATGTTCCCAGGCTGGGGGTCCTCAGGGGTGGAGAGAAAGAGCAGGAGCAAACCTCTTTGGGGGGCCTGTGGGACCAGGGGTTTGGGGGAGATGCCATTTCTGCACCAAGGTCCTGATACACCTCACCCTCCACATGAGCACCCCATGGAAATGCATTTGGATAGAACATTTCCCACTGTCCTGGTTCCCAGGAGCTGCTGGCTAGAATTAGCATGAAAAACTGTCAGTTTGAGGTGACCAGTGGGTTTGGGGGCTTCAGCACCCATGAGCAATGCAGCCAAAGGAGCAAGTGGGATGAGTGGTGAGCAAAGGGAGTCAGCTCACCCCCCAGCCCAGCCTCACCTCTCCCACACCCTGCCTGGTGGGTCTCTGACCTGGACTACCCCACTACAAGGGAGAGCTTTAATCCCAGCACCGCTGCTGTACCAATGAGGACTCCACATTGCATTTGCAAAGGGATGACTTTATCTTCAACCCTCTCTGTGTCTCCACACAACCTCATCCTCTCTGATGTTGCCTCAAAGAAACATCCAAGCCTCGGAGAGCAGCAGCTCTGCTATCAAGCTGGCTCCTGCCTGAGCAGAACATCAACCCCATGTGCTCTGTGCGAGTCTCACTGGTGCTGCAGCAGCAGGAGCAGTCCATGGGGCCAGCTGCTTGCTCATCCACCTCACACTGTGCTGCAGAGCTCTTCCCTGGGCCGTAGAGCTGATGACATGTTGGCATAGATCCGCTCCTGCTGCGGCATGGGCTTCTGCACTCTGGCATATAACGCCTCTCTTTCCTCCTCCGAAAGCTGGAAAAGGAGGGAGATAAACAAAAACATCCTTCGTGGGGCTGCTCCAGGCAAACACTGGAACCTCTCTGTGACATTTTAAGCACCCAGAAGCAGCCACAGGGATCAGAGAGGGAACCCACATTAGCCAGGGTGACTTGGACCCCAGTTTGGCACTTCCCTTTGCAGTCCTCTCCTTCCCCACCCAGCCCACCCTGCTGCTATTCTGTCAGCCACCCACTCCAGCTTTCCTCCCACCACCTCCAGCTTGGCAATGCTCGGCATTCTCCTACCTGAGCACTCTGCCTGACCTCTGTGTACTCCACCGGGGGCGTTTCTGGGCGGTGGAAAGCCTCAGCGCTGCTGTGCTGGCTCTCAGCCACGCCCGTGTTGTGGTTTATGCCTGCATAGTTCCAGGCTTCTGCTCCCTGATGGAGAGGGATGAGCTCTTACCCTGCTGCCACTCCCCACCTGCATCCACAGGGGTGGGAATATCTCCCACCCTGCTGCCTTGTCCTGATGGGTGCTGAGGTGGCTGCATGGGCATTGGGTGGAAATAAAAATTGAAGCAAACGCTGGCTCAACATTCCCTAGGGGAATTCTTGTGACATCAGCCCCTCCTCAAGAGCTGGCAGCAAAAAAATCAGAAAATACTTTCCAGACAGTAAGCAAGGAGCAGCTACCCTGCAGCCACTTCAGGTGTGATTTGCTGCAGGTTCCCAAGGCTGTTTCACTCAGAGAAGTAGCTCCCATGCTTGGAGAGGCTTGAAGAGAAACCTCTCAGCTCAATCCTAAATTCCTTTCCCAGGAATACTCTGTGATAGTCACACAAAGTCCCTGGCTGTGTCTTGCTGTTGGCAAGCAGAGCCCAAAGGATCCCTCCCAGCCTAAAGTGCCATGACCCTGGCTGAATGCAGCAGCTCTGGCAGCTCAGGGTGCAATGTTTCCCATCTCCATGTGAACTTGGGGCACAGAATCCCAGGAACTCATGAGGTTTTCCTTACTGTAGGTGACATGGTGCAAGTCCTGTCCATCTCTATGGCTGCTCCAGAAAGGGCTGGATGAAGCAAGGATGTGAATGGACATGAGTGAAAACAGAAGAAAAGAAATGTATTAAGAAACTGCACTGCCGCTACAAATCTTGACATAAAGCAGGACAGGAGCCTGACACTCCATGAGCCATCTAAACTGTTTCATCCATGGAGCAGTTCTTCAAATAAAGACAGACCCCACCTGCCAGCTGGCAATGTCCTCTCCTGTCCCTCCCCATCCTTCACACTGGCCTTAAACTTTGCATCAAGCCTAGAGTAAGGCTGGCCCGTGCAAGTGAGCCCATCTCGGGAAGCTGATGGTGCCCAGACAAACTCAAGCAGATTCCTGAGCAGCACCCACCCCAAGGGCTGCCATTCCCTGCTCCCAGGAGACAACAGCCGTGTGATAACACCCATGGCATGGACCCACTGCTCCCTTGAGGAAAGGAGACCTCCTTGGTGGAGGTCTCAATGATGGACTGAGGACCTGGATGGATCAGGAAGGGAATGGGGGAGGAAAAGGAAATAGGGAAAAATAAGGGAAGCAGAGCAGGCTCTGTTACAGAAAGAGGATGTGTGTGGCACTGACAACTTCACTCACCCTTCTTCTTCCTGGAGAGTATTACTAGAAGAGCAGCAGCCACTGCAAGCAAAGAAAGGATCACAATGATGGCTGGAGTGAGGATGTGCTCAACCACATTCAAGCTGCAAGAAAAAAAGAATGAAGAAGACAATTTATGTTGTCATGCTTCTCAGGATGAACCAGCATGGAGCAGAGCTGCAGGAAGCAGCTGTGGGTGACACAGAAGTAGCTGTGGCAGTAGAGTGGCAGGGCTTGCCCATCACAGCAGGCATGGGGTGGTCAGGCTGCCATATGGGCATGGAACAGAGCAAACCAAAACCTGCAGAAGCAAAAGGATGCTTGGGTCTGAGAGCCGCTGTGTCTTCAGTGATTTAAGGATGGGTTCCTGCATTTGCTCTGGTTTAACTTCACTCTTTGTTAACCTTGTCTGTAACGGGCAAGCAGGAAAAGTGGGTGAGCCAGCACACCCTTGAGTGTGCTGATGGGGAGTCTCAGCTTTGTCTGCCCCTGGCATCACCTTCCACAGGCAGGAGAGAAGGGGGGAAGATCTAACGCTCTGGTTTCATGCTTTTTCAACTATCTCCACCAGTCTGTGTGTGACTACAAAGAAGAGGACACTGGCAACACTTGGCTTCCCACTAACAGTCTCACTGAGTTTTGGGGAAGGAAATGGGGTTGGTATTGCAGGCAGAAACCACTTCTCCCATGTCCTAGGGGCACCAGAATTACTGTCATAGACCTAGAGAATGATTTGGGTCAGAAGGGCCCTTAAAGATCATCCAGTTCCAGCCCTCTGCCATGGGAAGGGACACATTCCACCAGGCCAGGTTGTTCTAAGCCCCATCCAGCCTGGCCTTGAGCACTTCCAGGGATGGGACACCCACAAGGTCTCTGGGTTACCTGTACCATGACCTCACCACCCTCACAGAAAAGAATTTTTCCATGTGGAGTGGTCTCTAAAGGCAAAAGCAGGAGGTCTGGATCCTTAAGGCAGGTGTGAAGAGTCCAGTGGTTGCAGGGCTCCAGCTGCACCAGAGAACTGATGGAGGAAAGTGGCTGCTGTAGACAGGAACTGCTACTCACAGTTGAGGGGTGGAGGGATTTAATGTTGATTGCAAAATTTCCCCCTGAGAAATTGTCTGTGTGCGGCCTGTTACAGAGAGAATGAGATCAGAGGATGTGGTGGTCACATAGGTCGACGATGGGAGGGTGGAAGAAGCTGTAACAAAAAGAGGAGAGGCATGGTTGGTCTCTGTGGAGAAAAATGCTGTGAGTTTTGCAGTGAGTCAGAAGTGACCTCTGTGCTGTCACAGCAGGAGAAGTTGGGTCCCCTCTGCCACATCCAGAGGATACACCTCGAGGTCAGAGTGCTGTAAGACCTTTCCCCTGCTCATGAGGCTTTTCACAGTCTCAGTGCCCCCCAAAACACATACAAAACAGATTCACCCTGCAGAAAGGGGTCTGGGCACCCCTACAACAATACCACATATATATTGTCCAACTATGTGAGCCGATCCCTGGCAAGGCAATGGAGAGGGATGTTTCCCAAGCCCAGGGCCTGGTGCTCAGAGCTGCTGCCTGTCCCAAGTGGGAATGGGACAGCACAGTGCAATGAGGAACACCCCAGTGTTATAGAGTAAGGCAAAGAGGACACAGAAAAAGCCAGCAAGAGCTAATGAGGAGGGAAAGTGGGCACAGAGAGCACAGTATACCACAGTAATGGAGGTGGCTGAACCTGGAGAACTGACACCAGGAACCTGGGCTGGCGAGTTTTCTTTCCCAGGGAAAAGGGCCACTGTTTGTGCTCGGGGACAGGTGGTCCTGAGAGAGTGACTGCCTACAAAAAATCTGAACGGTGAAGGATGTGTCCCAGACCCAAGCTGCCCCAAGCTCAGACTACTGCTGCCCTGACAGTCCCAAGGGAACCCCAGAGCTAAGAAGGGGCTCTGGGGAGAACTGAGAATAGGGAATGAGTGGTGGTGGTACCTACTGCACTCTGGTGACACACCCTGGGGCTGTCCCACCTGCATGGTCACCCCTTAGCTCCAGTCTGTGCCCATTGCAGCCCCTGCTCCAAGCAGCTGGAGGAGGACAAATCCATGTTGGACCTGGGGGTTCTGCAGGGAGCAAGTACTGACCTGAGAGCACGATCACGTTTACAGTAGCACTTCTATCACGCGATAATGGTCCCGTTCTCACCCCGCAGTGGAAGGTGCCTGCATCCTTCTCCGACAGACCATCCACGATCACCGTGAACGCCCGCTGTGTGCGGTTGTCCCGGATGGAAAACCGGCCCTGCAGCATCTCGGGCTTCGACGTGATGATGATGTCCTTACTACAGGTAAAAATACCACTAGGTATGCACCAGAATTTCGGCAGCTCCTCCAAGCCCGGCTCGTACGTGCAGGTGACCGACAGGGAAGCGCCCAGGACTCCCCGCACGATGCCGGGTCCCGTCACTGCGCCGCAGCCTGCGGAGACACACGGAGCCGCGGGACTGCCGCCGCCGCACCGGCACCTCCGCCGGCGCTCGGGGCTCCGGAGCAGCCTTACCCGGCAGCAGCGCCCAGGCCAGCACGGCCAGGAGCCGCATGGCCCTCCGCCACGCCGGGCTCACCGCGCCGCCGCTCCCGTTCCTCCCGGTGCCCCCGGGGCCGCCCGTACGGCTCGGCCACCCCGTGAGGGCGGAGCCCGGGGATCCCGGGGACTGCCGAGGAGACGAGGGGAGGGAGAGCGGCGGCGCTCGCTGGAGCCGGCGGGGGAAGCGGGAGGAGCACGGGGCGGTGCTCCCCGGCCCCGCCGTGGCACCGGCGGCTGAGCGGGGCACGGCCGCGCTCACGGCCAGCAGCGCCGGCAGCCGGCCAGCACCGGGCAGCAGCGGAAAGTGCTGCCGGCTCCTGAGGAGTGTCCGGCCGGAGCGGGTGCGGAGGAAGGATGGATGCAGCGGGTTCCAGACCCCCCCCCCCCCGTGTTCCTGCCACGCTCGGGGTGAAAACTCCTTCCGCAGTCTGGACCCGCCAGCGTGGGGGTCACTGTCGCGATGGGCAAAATGTGCAAGGACCGACCTGGGGTTATGATGGCCTCATATTTCCCCTTTACTCTCATGTAAAGGGGAGAATCCCTTCTGCATCCCACAGAGGAGCGTGCCCGCCTCCTCCTTGACCCGGCGCTCCACAGTCACCCTGAATGGCCGGAGCACGCAGCTGTTCAGAATGGAGAACGGCCCTGCCGCACCTCGGGCTGTCATTTCAGGTGCTGAGCATGTCAGTGGCACGGGTAATACCAGTACGTGTGTTACAGTGAGCTCATGGGCACTCTATTTCCCCTTCCCCGGGACCCTGTGACTCTGATCAGATAACCCTGGACCCTCCTTCCTGCCCCAACGGGTTGGTGGAGATCCAGGGAAGCCCACCCTGTCCAAAGTCTGTACAGACCCCTGACATTTCCTGTTTGTTCTCTTTTGCCCCGCTCTCCCCTTGGACACCACAGAATAAAGAGAGCTGAACCAACATATATTGGGGTAAGAGCCTCTTTTGGAAATCTTTGCCATCTCCCGATATTCCTCTCCTCACAGCCTTGGACCTCTGAGTTAGCCTAATATTTAGGGGGCTGTGCAAGGCGGGGAACATCATATGTGTACTCGGTTGGCAACAGAATTTGGGTAACCTCTCCCGGCCAGGCTGGTACGTGCAGGTGACCGACAGGGCATCCCTCAGGAACCCCTGCACGGTGCCCGGCGCTGTCACTGCCCCGGAGCCTGCGGGGACACACGGACTCACGGCAGCGCTGCCGCTGCCCGGACACCTCCCGCTGCTCCTGGGGGATCCAGCGTGGGGCTCCAGCCCCGGCCGTCCACTCAGCCCTACCTGGCAGCAGCGCCCAGGCCAGCACCAGCAGGAGCATCGTGTACACACTGGGGCAGCCCTGCTGCTCCTCTTCATTGTGTCTCTGGGGCTTTGCTTCCTCTTTTGCCTCTGCTACCGCCTCCGTTGCTGCTGGAGATTCAGCAAGACTGTGGCGTTGCCTGTTTCCTAGAGTTTCAGCTCCTCCTGATCACTGAGATTACTTGCTGTGCACTGTCCCTTGTGCCCTTCCCCAGAGTCTCTCCTTTCTTCCTGCAGCCTGGCCCCCATGTCAGGACACAACCTGCTTCTCACTGCCACACTGCCCAGCCCCTCTGGCCAGGCACGGCAGCCAGGGGAGAGGTGGCTCAGCATGGCATGGGGACCACCTGAACTCCAGACAATCCTCCAGGCTGGGCAGTGCTCCAGCATGCCCCCCTGTCCTTCCCAGGGGAACAAAATGTGTAACTCCAGCCCCTTATCCTGGTGCAGCTGGACAGGAGCACCCACTTCTCTTGCCAGCACAGCCCCTCTGTGGCTCAGGAGCCCCATGCTCTGATCAGGTTGCTCCAGGCCTTCCTCCTGTGTCCCAGTCCCTGCGGTTGCTGAGTGGAGGCAGGATTTTGGAAGGACACCCTCCCCTGGCTATTGCTAAGCTGGAGATGGGCATTTGGTAGACCAGGCTGAGGCTCCTGGGGCTAAGGGCTCCTCTCCCCATGAAGAATGTCAGCTGGGCCATGGTGGAGCCTGCCCTGCCTCTGTGACCCCATGTCCCCCCACAGCATGTCCCCACACAGGTATGTGCATCAGCATTGGCTGCCACGGGCATCCCAGGCAGTGCTGGCAGCTGAAGGAAGGAACAGACAGACAGACAGACAGACAAGCAGACAAGGCCCTGCAGGATACCCAGCCTTTATTGCAAAATTCTCTTCTGATGGCAGCTGCAGCTCAACAGACACAGGCTCCCTGCACCCCAAACCCTTCCCTCTTCAGCACAGGGGCTGCCAGGAGGGGCTGAGGCTCTCCAGGCACCTCCTGGCAAGGGGTGGCCGTGAGGGTTGGCATGGCCCCAGCAGGGTGGGGGCCAGGGGGGCAGGAGGGCGTCCCTGGGGCTCGGAGGTGGTTGGGACAAGCGGGCAGCCCCGTGCCCTGGTGCTGCTGGATGTGTCCAAGATCTGCAGGTTTTCCTGGTCACGGCTCCTGCACTGGTTCCTCACCCAGGCTGCCCTACAAACCATGGCTAGTGCCATGGGCATCTTGATGCTGAGCAGAAGCAGCAAGTGGATGACACTGAGCTGGGACCTGTGTAGGAGAAAGGAGGTTATGCTAGAGCTTTAGGAGGGTCTGGGGAATGAGGATGGGGAGCGGGGCACTTGCGTGTCTGCCAGCTGTCCTGCTTGTCCCCAGCATGCTCCTTGGGGATCAAAGCTAGGAGATACATGCATGGGAAATTAAGGGTTTGGCCAGGGGTTGATTTTGGGGGCTTGCCTGGATCCCAAGCCCTGACTCACCACACTGCAGGCTCCCCACAACCCTCGAGGCACAGAGGGTTGGTGGTCAATGGGCTCACATTGCTGTCCTCAGTTGTGTTTGAAACAGCTGGCAGAGAAAACAGAGTCAGAACCAAGTGGAGACCCCCACAGCCCCTGTCCTGTACCCTGCACAGCAGTCTCTACCCCTGAGACTTCAGCAATGAAGGTGCAGGGGGTGCATGTGGAGGTATCCAGGCAATGCCCTGAGCACTGCAGGGGGGAAGAGGAAAAAGGGAAGTTTAATGCCAGCTTTGCTCCCAGCCCTGTTTTACCTGCAGAAACCATCACCTTGGTGTTGTGCCATCGCTTGATCCCCACATTCTTCCTCACCCCACAGGAGTACCGGCCTGCATCCCCTGGTGTGACACTGCTCAGTGTCACTGTGAATGAATTTGCTGTGTGGTTGTCCCTGATGGACACCCTGTCCCGTGTCACTGTCACCTCGGAGCCGTCGGTTTGGATGATGTAGCTCAAGCAAAACCAGGGGGAGTTTTTGCGGCACCAGTACTTGGAGCTGAGCTTGTAGCGTGGCTTGTAGCTGCAGGACACTGTCAGGGAGCTGCCCTGCTCCACTGTCACCTGCCTGGGGCCTGTCACTGCCCAGCCACCTGCAGGGGACAGAGAGAGAAGCTGTAAACCTGTTCTGGCACTGCCTCGGGGAGCCAGAAGGAGCTGAGCCCAGATTTCCTGGGGGAACAGCCCGAGGGAGGCTGTGCCTGTGCACCCACTGTGCTGGTGAGCAGTGGGGAGGTGAGATGTCACCAGTCCTTAAGAAAAGAGCCCCCACCAAGGGTGTGTGTGAGAGAATGAAAAGCCTTATTCCCACGGTTCACATGGCAGGGAACAAGCAAATCTCAGAGATCACACTCTGTAACTGCCAAAGGAAAAGTTTGTTATCAGCTGGTCTTTTGCTATGACCATGGTGATCTTCCTGGTCTGCCTGGGCCCCAGCCTCTCTACAGCTCTGTCAGAACCCCTGATATAGATTTACCTGACCTGTGCTCGTGGCTGTCATGAGGAAAAGGGTCCAAACCAAGAAAATCCTCATTTTCCAGCTTCTTGCTCCTGAGGTGGAATTTTCTCCGTGGTTTTTCACAGAAAATCCTTCAGGATGAAGCTAGGCCCACATACACATGGATGTCCTAAGAGTTTTCCAAGCTGTCTTCTCCTGCCACTTCTTCAGGCAGTGCTTACCCACAGACCCTGGATGTCTTGTTTTTAAGACAGTTACTTCCCCCCCCTTCACCCAGCACTCATGACTCACCCTGGGGTGTTCCATGACACTCTGCTTTTTCTCTGTAATAGTCACTGGGGTCCCAGGAAAATGTCAAAATGCAGCAGGTTCCTCCACTGTGATGCCCATCCCACCAGGGGCCAAAATCCCTTCCCCTGCACAGAGCCCAAAGGATTTTAGGGAGTTTTGAGAGGGCCTGGACAGAGCAGGATGCAGGAATCAGGGTAGACTGAGTGCAGGTCAACCCCTGCTGATGGGCTGGCTGGGATGCCAGGTTGCTCTCCCACTTCTGATGGATTGGGATGATGGATTGAGATGATGGACTGGGATGATGGACAGCCATCCCACCCCCTGCACTGCTGCTCTCTGGCTCTGGAGTGGGCTGCCAGCTTGAGCTGGCCTGCTTTTGTTTGTTTTCTCAAGCAGAAGAGTCTTCTTTTCTTCCCCAAACCACCTTTTTTTTTTGGCACAGCTGTGGGATTTGGAGTGACAATGCTGTTTTCCCCCAGAATTAAATGCTTCCACTGAAAGTTTCAGAAACCCAAACACACAAAGCAAAGTCGCTTCCCTGGCTTTCTTCCAATATGCCCCTTGTAAGGAGCAGAAAGCACAAACCTCCAGAATCCCTTGCCCTCTCAATGCCTTGCCATGGCAGGAGGCAAGAGGAAGCTCTGTGTTCCCCTTCGGGTCATCAAGTAACTCCTTCCTTCTCAACTGACTGGTTGTGAGCCAAAACACTGCAAGTAACAGCAAGATCTAAATTCAAAAAGTGGCTGGAGATGGCAAAGCTGCTTTGTGCTGAGACACTTCCCACTCCAGCCACCTCATCTTCCTTGGGGATGCATCCCTGCCACTGCCTGGAAAATCACAGTGCATCCTTCCCACCCTTCCCTTGCAGTGAGAGGAGGACTGGGAGAAGTGCCTCAGAGGCAGAGGCTCTGATGGAATGTGTGCAGGGAAGGTGCCTACAAAGGTATTTACTGCATGAGCATTTTGAGGGCAGCTCAGTTACCTGAAAGCAGACAGAAGCACTTCTTCAGAGAGCCACTTTGGTTGAGTTGCTGGAGAACTTTTCCAGCCACATCCATGCTGTGTCATTACTATCACTTCACCTTCAGGTGTGAGGTGTCATTTCCCTATTTCCCAGGTTTGGGTCCTGGGCAGGATGAGCAGCTGTCCAGTCCAGTGCAGGAACTGGGACCCCCAGAACAGACTGAGGCCACTTTCTCCCCATCTCAGCAGTCCCCAGGACTGTGTTACACCCCAGAGGGCTCCTGACTATGTCAGTGGAAGATCTCCTTCCATCCCCTGAGGATACAGCGATGATTTACAGCCACACAACATCAGCACTGCCACTCCCACATGGGTTTTACTCTGATACTTCTCCTGTCACCTGCTGTGTGAAGGGGCCCTGGCTGAGTGGGACACTGGCAATGAGGGCTTTGCAAAGGGGATGGCTCCAGCTCAGTGCCTCAGCCCCAGACAAACAGCAGGGTGTGGACGTCCTCCTGGAGAGGAAGGTCAAGATGAGGGCAGGCAGGAATGAGGAACCCCAGCGTGCTGACACAGAAGTCTGTCACAGGAGGATCTGTGATGTTTATTCCAATTAAAGTGAGAGTCAGTTGAAAGGAGAAACCAGAAAGGAAGTAGATCAATTCAGCGATAAATCTGTACAACAGAGTGTGATGAGGACTCTGTAGTAGATAGGGACAGGCGAACGGAAGATTTCGGGATGTGATGGAAAGCAAGACCCTTCCCCCCTCATCCTGTGATATGTAATCCATCACCCCTGAGACATGTAACCCCTCCTAACTCAGTAGTTTTCCACCCCTTACTAACCCTAGAGACCCTACCTTCTTCCTTTGATGTAGCAAAGCCCCCTTGACTATTTAACCCTACGAGATAAGGTAATAAAGGCCATTTGACCATCCACCATGTTGGTGTCTGTGATTGTCTGTGGCCCGGTGGGAATGGACAAACACATCCCCCTGCACAGGGCAGGGGAGGGCACTCTGCTCTGAACCAGCATCTCTGGGGGGCTGTGGCAGGATCCTGCAAGCCAAGACCTCTCTTTGGGCAGAAAGAGGCTGGGGAAGCACAAGGCAAGGCTGCTCTGTGACAGAAGCAGCATTGCTGGAATGCTTCTGAGGAATCCCGCTAATGCACCCTGACAGGAGCACATCAATTAGGATGGGAATGAGAAGACTCTGACTCAGAAGGCTGCTGAGAATAAACCTCCAATTTATTCAAAATACACTGCTCTTTTATACACAGCTTCGCAAGGATCAAATCCATTGGTTCTGAAGTGAAAACAATGCACGCCATTGGTGCAGAGTGCTTGACGCACAGTGATGGAACTTAACTATAAACAATGTGAAAAACAAGAGAGATAAAGGATTATTTACATTCTTTCCCAGCTCTTTCCCAGGCTTTTGCCTGGCTAGAAACTGTTATGTGTAGTAAATATAATTCGTGCTATTCCTTGCATGAAATATGTAATGCTTGTTAGATTATGCCCGTTGTATTAGTTCTCCCCTCCTTGCAGGTGAGACTGGGTGTATATTGGAAGCTGATTTACAAGTAACAGGATGTGGCTCGGCCAGGAGATGGGCCATGGTTGGGCTCCAGGTGTTGATCATCAGGTGCTGATCATCCGAGATGGATCTCATGGAAATCCTCAGACAGATCCATGTGAATGCAGCCTTCCCAAAATCTCATCAGGAATTCACCTACCCGGACATTGAATTATTTCTCCTCATCACCAAAAAAGTAAATCTTATTAACCTATGGACTCTGAATAGAAGAAAAGACTGATTGCTGAAATCTTGGCCTCAGGCAGAATTTTCCCTATAAAAACCACTTGTGCCAGGATGGAAGTGTGTGGGCACAGAGGAAAACCTCTGCTGGGGCTGACTCCTTGTGGCACACCCAGGGCCGACCCCGGGCTTGGCTCTGTTCTTTCCTTGTGGCTGGCTAGATAGAATTTGACCGCTAATAAAATGATTTTTTATTTTTAATCTGGCTGAATAAGTTCTCATTTATAACAATACTCTCAGTTTCTTTCTTTGACTGAATCTGAGACCCACATCAATTTGCCTTTCGGTCTGTGCTGCGTGCAGGGCTGGAGCGAGCAAAGAGCCCTGGGATGTGCTGTGGGCATGGCACAGGGGCTGGGATGAGCTGGCACCTGCACCCTGCAGCCCCTGCCTGCCCCTGGCAGTGCTGCCAGTCCCTTTCCTGCAGCAACAGGACCCTGCCCCACGCTATCAGATGCTGCTTTTGCTCTTGTTCTGCAAGATTATGAATCTGAGTTTACTCACGGTGTTGGTCCTGAGAAAAAGCCTCAAAGCCTTGCTGAGACAGGCAGTAATTGAATCAATCAGAGCGTGCATCTCCTTGGTTCAGGGCCCAGCAAGAACAGACCTTCCCCAGTTCTTATCCCACTGTATCACCCACCACCACACCTGAGCCTTTCCAGCGTCCTGTCTTCCCTGGACTTCAATGATATTTCCAGTCCCCAATTCTGTTATTTCATCTAGGGCCTTTGAAAAATAATCAGGTTGTTTCAGTCTGTTCTTCACATGCAGATTTAGCAAGTTTGGTGAAATTGCCCTTAGGAGATAAGGCTGAGTATAATATTATAGCTCCTTTAGTGCTGGCTGATTGAGCAAGCACTGTCTGATCTCTCCTTTCTGCTGCCACCTCAGATACCCAAGATAAATCTGGATCATTCCCAGATCTCCCGATTCAGCAAAGCCAGTAAAAGTGGCAAAACATACTCACCGAATTTGTTGTGGTGGAGGATTTGCTCAGGGCTCCACCTGGGGCTGGACTTAGCCAGAAAGGGCCAAGGCAGGGGTTATTTAATGCAAAGAAATTAAGACTCCATACTCGGTGGATGCAGAGGATGAAATTCTGATTCCTTCCTAGCTCATGGGGAAGGAATGAGTTCAGCAAGGCTCCAGTTTCCATTTCCAGATGATTTGGGAGATACTACAGCAGTTAATGGGGTTGGGCAGCAGAGAACAAGCAGGAGCAGGCCAGGAGGACACTGAAGCAGAAACTCCTGAGCTGTATTTAGGTCTTCCAATGTTAGAGCTGTACTTCTCAAGGCAAATACACAAGTAATTAAGCTACCAAAGATAAAGTCTGCGAGCAAACACATCAAACAATGGATCTAAGTTTCAGGTTTATTTGGAATCACTGCCATTTACAGGTCATTTCCTCTGATTTCATTGCTCTGCTTTGATTTCAGCTGGTCAGCACTTGCTCAGGGCTGTAAACTGCTCAGTGTCTGCCAGAAAACTCTGCCGGGTCTGGGGGAGGCTGTAGAGCAAGTGGTTTGCTCTGGGTGGTGGGGAAATGCATTCCTGGGTGTGTGAAGGGAGGAGTGATGCAGTGCTGGGCTCTGGGCTCTGATAAAGCTGCTGCTATCACTCACCTTCAATGGGGCAGGTGCTCCAGCTTGGTAAAGTGGCATAAAGGCTTTGGAGCAGGGCCAGGGTGTGCTGCTGCCCGTGTTTTGCCAGCAATCTGTGCTGTCTCATTAGGCTGCAGTACTTTTGGAGATATCATGATGGACAGGACAATTGTTTTCCCTCTGAGTGAGGTTAAACCTGCAGGGTTGAGTGAGTCTCTGGTGCAACGCCAGTGCCTGCAGAGGGAATGGACAACTTGGCTCTGTGAAGCTCTTCAGTCCCTCCCTGCTCTCCTTTGTGATTCAGGGTAGTTAACAAATGTTGCTGGAGCTAAAAAGCCAGAGAATGCTCCCCAAGCCCAGAGCTTCTCCTGCAACAGGGACCTGACAGAAATTC